TGCCCGGGGAGCTGGGAGCCGCCTGCCTCCGCTTCTGAGGGCTCTTCACTCTGCATCCTCTTCTCGGCAGGGACGTGGCCATGGTCCCCGTGGGAGAACCGTCACAGCCGGGCCCAGCATCCTTCCTCGCTCCTGTAGCGGCCTGTCTGTGGTTGACACAGAGCTGGAGAAAACTGGCAGAGCTCCCTTCTGCCGTGGCAGGTTCCTAAAGGTACACAGCGAAAACATGGGTGGGAGCCCGTGGTGCCAGACTTCGGGAAGCATCGTGCAGGCAGTGAGCAGGCGCGGAGCAAAGAGCACTCCGGGTAGTGCTGCCCACACGCGATCAAGCTCAGCACTGAGGAAAGTGGCACAACTAGAAAGCAAAATCATGAATCGAAAAAAGCAGATGGAATTGCAAAACACTGACTTGGACCAGAAGCCTTTGGATGAAGAGTCCTTCTCATCTGCTTCTAGTCACGAACGCAGTGCAAGGGGCAAGAAATATCTGAAGAATTCTGCTGCTGCCAGTGGAAATATGACCCTCAGTAATGCCTGTTCTAAGAAAGAGGAAAGAATCCAAAATCCTAAAAAGAATGTTATGGTTAAACAGCAGCTTGGATTGGATAGCGATGAAGAGGAAATGAGACGACTGATGGAGAGCTCATTGGAGTTTTCCAGTGGAAATGAGAATCGGAGGGTTGTTGTAAGTGATTCTAAATGGGGTGGAAAAGTAAATGCTTTGCTGGATTATGTGTCTTTATTTACACATTTATGAAATTGTTTTAAATTGGTAGATCACTTCTTATTTAGGTAACACTAGAAACTAAATTTTAATTTTGCATTTATGGCTTGCTCATGATACAATTTAACTTCAATTCACATTTTAAAATACTGGGTTTTACCCATTATAATACATTTTCCTTTTTAGTGGTCTACACATAATAAATGAAATAACACATTAATCTCTTTTTCATGTTCTTCAAAAGAGTAAGACTCCAGTTTCATCAGGAATGCTTCCTCCATCTCATAAGGAAATTTCATTGACAGAGGTATTTAAAACATCTCATTTTGATGGCAAAGACTCAGAGAAAAATGTTTTTGATAGAGTTAATTCACCAACCCCTTCAGCAGCCAGCAGAAACCTGTCAGTACGACATAACACGAGATCTCAATCGCTGTCTTCTTCCATGAAAGACACTACTGTAAAGGTTACTCTGCCTAGAACAGGCAACACCAAGCAAAGCCAAATATCACTTGAAAGTGACAGAAGTGAAATAAAATCATTAGATGAATTGTTTTCCAAAGCAGATGATGCAGAAGATTCAATCAGCAGCAGCTCAAGTGGTAAGTTAGTTCTAAAGTAGTGTCTTGCTAGGCTTGGCATGAATTGTACTAATAATCTACTGATAAACTTACTAATGAAAATGGGCAAATACTCACTTTGAAAGGATTCAGTAGTGTAACTTTACATAAACCAAGGCTTTTTCAAAGGAATTATGTTAATCTGCTTCTTTTTTCTAGTGTAACATATTTGTATTTTTCTTGGCTTTTGATTTAATGGGTTCAGTTTCGTGATGCTTCTCTGGGTGATACTTATGACATCAAAACAATTACAACATTTAGAATAATTTTCATATATCAGTGGGACAATGTACTAATGGCTCTGAGTGAGAACAAGTGTAAATGAGGATCACCAAGAATCTCTTGAACCTGGGGTAGCAGATCCACAGACAGGTGGCAAAGGAGGAAACTTTAGACAGAGCTGCTGCTAAGGTAAAGATTTAGAGTGATTGATGGCTATTACTTTCTAGTATTACACTTTAAACTAGGAACGTAGTACTGATTTATTTCCCCCCCCTTTTCTTACTTCAGGGAAAGTACACTGTAATTTTCATGCAAATTCTCATGACAATATGTCATTCGATTGCAGACTTCAGAATGAATATCCTGAGCCTTGATGATTTGGCACCAAATATCACCAGCGAGGCAGCAGAGTTAAAGCAGAAAGTACGTAGAAATTCCCTACTAGCACATATTTCCATTCTGACTTTGTTTGGTCGAGGGGGGATATTCTAAAATGAATACTTCTGTTCTGCTCATTGGCAATCGGAGGTGGGCTTGTCTTACTAGCTGTAAGGGTTAGATCAGGAGTTTATAGTCTACTGAAACCTGACCAAATTCTTTTTTTCATGGCTGCATTTCCTTATTCGATATAACAGCACTGCCTAGTTTGCATGGTGACACGGAAGAGCAACATTTTTAAAGTAAAAATAAAGTAGTAGCCAACTCTCAGTGACACACAGCAGAAGAGATGAAGAATAATGGAGGCGTATTCTAGGTTATATTTTGTTGATTCTCCTAACGTACAGCTAAATTGGTTTACAGGGGTCAGACGTTCAAATTACTCAAGATTCAAACAGAAATCCCCCAAAAGATACATTCCTGGTGGAAAAAGACCAAACTTCTCTTAAAATGACAAGTGCAGTAACTGATGTGAATGATGCTTCTGCAGGGGATATTGAAAAAACTGTGACTGAAACTGAAATCTCTGAGCATTTAAGTGGAGTTTCTGCAGATTTTCCTAGACACAAACAGGATTATCTTGATCGTGATGAGAGAACTGTTAATTCAGAATATTCTGAAGACTTTGAAACCTCTCTGTCTACAACAGACAGGGAATCTGTATCAAAAATGTCAGAGGAACATTCTGAGAGCTGCACTTATTCTGGAAAACACCCGTCTTCGGCATCGTCACCTTTATTTACCGGAGAGCGGCAAGACCAGACACACAGAGTAACTGTCAGAGAAACTGCAGTTCAGACAGTGGATCCTCCATTCAGCTATTGCTGGGCAAAGAGTAAGTTCACGAGATACTGCCCTATTCAGGCAACTTTTACATTTTTATATTTTATATGCCGGCCCAGTCAGCAATGATAAGAGTTCTTAGTTTCAGTACTGGCTTCCCCCTTGCTGACATTAAATTAAAAACTTTTTACAGCCCAACATGCTGATCTGTTATCTGTAGAAAAGATTGGGATTGGACAACAGAGTAAGAACTTGGAACTGTTTGTTGCTAAAAAAAACTACAAGAGGAACTCTGGATGGATGAGCTAGTGTTAGCGACAGAGCTTGCAATAGCCTGAGTAATATTTTCAAACAGAATTCAACATTTTATTATATCTTTACTATTGTAAACAATACTATTGTATTGTTACTAAAGTGATCACGTATTGTAGAGTTCTTTTTTGCATTATATTTTTATTTCTTGGGAAAGCTCTGTCGCCCCATTTAGAAGAGACAGGACCTTTCACTGTTTCTGAGAGGTAGCTCCTTCCCTACTTCTCTTTAGTGAAAGGAAGAAGTGGTAGGAGCCCTATCTTGCCACACTCAAGGAGGAGAAATTAGAAACTCAGGTGTGCTTGAAAACAGTAGCTTCCTTCAAGTACAAAAGCCTTTATTTTTACTGTCTAAGGTTAGAAAAGATGCCTTCTGCAATGGCACATGTTGTGAACCTAAGAGTAAAGAAACTGTGAAGGTCGTAGAGCTATTTCAGTACTTTTTTGGCTGAGAGAATTCCCTGTTAGGCTTTACAGCGGGTCTACAGCAACTGATGTCCCAAGAGCCTGCTGAAGATGAACTGAGTTCTAGCGCTAAACCTTTCCACCCTCCAAACCCAGTCATTCTAATTTTACCCTGTGCACAGCAAACGCCTCTGCAGTACTCGACCCGCCTGTAGGAAACAGCTACGTTGACCCAGTACCTGTTGCCAGTCACGTCATCAGCACGGATGCAGTGGAAGGTACTGAAAAACATGTTTCTTACTGCTCTGTTTTACTATATTTATGCATCTAACCCCTGCTTGGATTGTTTACCCCTTACTACTGACCGTAACATAGCACTAATGGATGTACTCCCCACTTCTTGCAGCCTTGACAGCATACAGCCCGTCAGTTCTGGTTTTAAACGCCATGTTGAAACAGCACCTGATGCTGACTCAGCAGTTTGTAGAGAACATTCACCACCTTCACTTCTCCCTCGTGGAGTCACTAGAGAAGGAGAAGTTCCACTACCACACCCTGGAAGAGGCTAAAGAGGTATTTATGCTAGACTAGGTGGCAGCCTAGAAGCGTTTATTCCTTTCCAAATGCTTTTAGTATTGGCAGCAAACGGATTTTCTTTGTGTATTATTCATTAATCGGATAAAGTTCATATTATCATTGAACAAATTACTTCATAGAAGAATGCTGTAATGTTTGTGCCCGTGTTGATAACAAGTCAGGAGTTTATACAGTAAAAAAGACTAAAGTCTTCCTGCATGCTGTGGTTTTGAGAGAATAAGGTTTCTGGTGCCAGTATAGAAAAGTGCAGGTATCTTGACATGAAGATTTCTTATTTATTAAATACTAGAAAGTATTTATCTACGTAATAAAGAAATTCGTATATCAACATTTTTTTTTTGCAGTACATCAAGAATCACAAATCCCCACCTCTAACAATTGAGCAGGCACGTGAAGAAATTCAGAAAGCACAGGAGGAAAAGCTGCTTTGACTCTTTGAAGTTTAAGTAAAATGTACTTGTTCAAGCTGGAACAAGAAACTCTTCCAAATTGTACAGATAAGAAGTTATAAACTATGTACTGGAAGGATTTGTACTAACTGCTATGTATCTGCATGTATCTAAATACATAATATATTTTCCTATCTCTGAATTTTTTACTAACGTAGGTGACAGTACGAGCCTTCAGCCAGACTATGTCAGTGTTCAGCAAATAAGAAACCCAGAAAACCCTTCTCTCTGCAGGCAGTGTGGAAATCATCACAGTAAGTGTGGTTATCGTGTAGCTTGTGTGATCTGTGATCACGGGAGAAGCGAGTCTGTACTATGGTGCCCAAGGAGCACGGCCACAGCAGAACAATACCCTATCCTGACCTCAGCGCCAGACTTAAACAGTGTTTATGCATAATTAGCCTTGTCAGATTACTACAAAACCAAACCCACGCAAGGTTAAGATAAATTCAAGGAAGGAAGGCTTATAGCTGATGTACAGGAATCCATTTACTCTGAAATATAAGCTGCCGTTTTATTTTTATTTAAAAAAAAAGTGTTTATTGGAAGGCAAAACAATAAAATTCACAAGTTGATAACATACAGGTGTTGTATGCTGATTCACAGACAGTTACAGTTCCACAACTACAGTAGATCTAGAACAAACTGATATTTCACCATATTAATCGGATGGTTTTAAGAGGGTTTCTGCTATACAAACAAATGACTCTGGAAGAGGTGACCACCACACAGAGCTCTGGAGTGGAAGTGCAGTGTAAGGGCCCAACATCTTTAGCTGGTGGTCTCGGGAAACAGTTACAAAAGGTTCTTTTTTTCTTTTTTTTTTTTTTTTTTCTCATTTAGATTAAAGGAAGTTTCCAAGAACGTTTCATTGTTAGAAACTTGCAGAGCAGAGAAAAGTGATTCTCTTCTATTCAACTAATTAGCTTTTATTAAAGGGTATATACAAAAATATAAAAAGCTTAAAGAATGTCTTCCGTTACAAAGCATTGAACATCCCTTAGAGCGCTTGAAAAGCTACAACAGTTAACCCTCGTGTTCTGACCAGAGTTGGGACTGCAGCAGCTGGTGTGTAGGGGCGTTAAGTTGTAGGGTAGGTTCTAACAAGCTCGCACAGTGCTCATAGGTCACCTGTACTGGAACTAGATGCTTCATTCCCCATTTAGACATTAGGATACACTGCTCAGCATCAGTCTGACTTGATCCCAAGGCAGCACCCCTCCACTTCAAATAGAATTAACCTTTTGAGAGAAATAAACATACATTATGGAACTAGAGAACACACAACCACATCAGATAATGTCTGTATTCCACGGGAATGAATGACTCACAATCCTGCACCGGGGATAGCTTGACCGGGGTTTAATTCTAGTATAAAATGGGTAACTAATTAAAAAATTTTGCAAAATAAATGGAAATTATTAAACTTGCTAGACATGTCAGAGTTATGACTGGCCTTTTTTAAACACTAAACGACAAGTGTTGAAGTACATGTCATAGCTTTCCATTTTCCACCATAGTTTTATAAGTAATTCATTTGTCACTTCCTCCAGACTTTAATCCGGATTTATACAAGTTTAATGTTTTGTAGAAGATGCAAGACATCTTTCTTCAGAGAGTCTTATTCAGGTGGTGGAGGGTCTTGTGTTTCACGCTTCACTGAAACAATAGGGAAAAGAGTTCTTACAAATTCTGCAGTTACCTAAGCTGTCTGAAACGTTTCAGGGAACGAGGGCTCCAATTTTTTGCTTCTGGGCTTTATTTGAACCCATTTTATTACACAGCTCTACTGCAGCCATAGGCAGAAGTGACTTTTCATTTATCATGCCAATTTTTTTCCTTTTAGTCATCAGCAAGTGCAGTTGTTCTATGTAACACAGACTCTCTGCAAAAAAAAAAATAATCTAGTGTTGGGGTAATTGTCTTCCTCTTAAGAAGCACCTCCACTTTTTCTGAACCCTTCCTGCGCTCCAGTGAATTTACTACCAGTTCTGGCTGGGGCAGAAAACAGTGCTAATTGTTGGAAACTGGGCGTTGGGCGGGGCCAAGCAGGAAGCCGCTCTAATCATTCCCAGCAGAACGCCTCGCCTGTCCCAGCAGCCATCCCTCTGGGACACGGCCCCTCCGCCACCCCGGGATCACTCCGGGTGTTTGAAAGGAAACGCTGAGAGATGCAGGTGGGCGGTACTGCAGCCAGCGAGGGGCTTACGCAGAACAGGCTAATTAATTCCTGTTTCAGAAATTACGACACAACACAACTCCTATAAAGGAAAAGACACTGTGTAATCAGTGTACATGTCTACTTACCTGTTGTTTTATTGCATCCATTACATTAGAAAGAATTAAGAGTTATTAGTCTCTTGAGTTGGGTTTACAGTCTACAGTAAATAGGACAAAATCACTATCAAATCTGAAATTGCTTAGAAACGTTCACTTACATTCATCTCTGGCCTTCATGCGTGCGATAAACGAGTAACTTTTATTTCTTCGGTAGTTTTCGTAAGGGTCATCTAATGCAACTCCCACTCCTTTGTATTGATCCCATTTGTCTCGGATATCCCCTCCCTTAATTGGATCCTGAATCCCTTGTTCCTTGGCTCCCAATCCACCAGATCCACTCCATCCTGCAGAAAAGACACAACATCGTAATCCTGTAACTACTTTTTGATTACTAGAATTCTGAAAGCAAACAGGCAGTTTGGAAACAACCAAAGAAAGCAGCAATCTGATAGAGCAGGATGATAACCGCCAGCCTGAAACAACACATGAGCTGTCAACGTTTGTTTCAAAAGCATTAACAGGCACACAGATTCCAGGGGCTGACGACCATCAGCGTTGCCCCTAAGAACACTGAAGAGGGTACGGGGAAAGCCAGCACGAGGCCACTGTGCCCAGCTGACCCCGCTGATCTGGCACCACAGGAGCTGAAATCCCTCAGGGAGGTAAATTCTGTTCCATGCCAAACTCGCACTCCTCTCTTCCATACCCTTCCCAGAAAGGCAACTACCACCACGGCTCCATGTTCTATGTGCTTCTGTCTCTGACTATCTTTACACTGACCTTGGAATAACAAGGGGTAGTTACTTATGAACATGCATTAATTAATTCTATCCAAGAGTTGGGTGCCTGATTTTCTTTCCTGGCTTGTGTAAGACTCCAGAACAGCATCTTACCCATTTTCACCAGCATTTGATGGCCTTTATTTTCCTCTCCAAGTCTTGACTCTGGTATAGGAGGCCCAGAACTGGAGCCCAAACCAGCAGAAGAACTAAGGGAAGAAAAAGAACAAATTAAGAAGTGGTGATCCTGTTCTGACACAAGGCAAGGTCATTTATATTCTGTTAAACATTAACACTCAATGCAATCCCATCCACTCTACTAAGCTGTTCTTGGCCTTCATAGCTGCACAGTGTTTTGTTGTAACAAAAAGCCACCAGGACAGAGGAATAGTCTCCCTATAATAGAGCATATAAATGGTTTCTAAATCTGCATTCCATCTTATTTTCCACTATTTGTTGAAATGCTTAATATACCCATGAGAGCGCATCCTCGTTGGTATTTTTCCAAACAACCCAGGTAAAAAGAGAAATAAAACCCCAAAAGCTTACGGAGGAGTGGGGCTGCGGGACCGGGACCGGCGCCGCCTTCCTGGGGAGTATGATTTCGATCTTGATCTTGACCGTGATCGCGAGCGGCTGTGAGAAGAGCGGGACCTGCTCCGGCTTCTGGAAAGGGAGACCACATGAGATCAGAGTCACAAATTCCCAGAGCAACATCCAGGGCTCCTCGTTCAGCCCTGAGGGCTGCGTTGTTCCCACCCCAGTTCCCACAATTCAGCCCACTGCCCTCTACCTGGACTGAGAGCGGGAATAGGATCGTGATCGAGAGCAAGAGCGAGATCGTGACCTCGAGTAGGAGCCAGATGATTTTGAAGATCGCGAATTGGACCGGGAGGATGAGCGACCTCGGCTTTTAGACCGACTGCGCGACCGAGAAGGCCCACTGCACAGATAAAAGCAGAGAAATTCCAGTGAAACTCCAGGGAGACGGCAGGAGAAATACAAATACACTTCCAATCAAATTCCAATTACACACAAGCACTGTATTTCTGCAGACAATCCAATGAAACTTCTGAGTGTGGCAAAAACTATTTTCTGCATATTAGACAGAAATTCCAGCGAGCTGAAATTCCATTATTCCATCAGTGCGTTGCTGAACAGACTTCCCCCCTGCATTTCACCCAAAGTACCCCTTGCACCGTCCAAACGAACAGCATGCATTCCCGGAAGGGAGCAGACAGCATCTCTCACCTATTTCTCTTCTCCTGACCTTTCCTCCGCCTCGCTCTCATTTTAGCTCTGAAGAATTCATACAGTCCATTCTGCTCCCAGCCTTCACTGCAATAAATCAACCACACATAGAACCGTCATCTGTAAAATTCTACTTTGATCATCGGAGACGTTCAGGATTTCCGCTTGATTTTGTAGGGAACAAAGGGCCTGCGCAAAAAGGTCTCGCAAATCTCAGCGTAAGATCAAACAGCGTGTGCAGTTTAAAATACAACAAGAGCACTTATTTCAGCATTAGAAGAACCAAGACACAGGCGAAGGAAGAGAGAGGCACTTCGTGGTTTGAGACAGCTTCTTAGGGCATTTTCCTTACCATATTGTTAGCTATACCTACTCTTACCTGTTTCTAGGCCTGTCATGAGATGGTGGACTATAAAATGCCTCAACCGCAGCCAGTAGTCTCTCACTGGGGGGCATTGGGGGTGGAAGACGTATATCTTTAGGATCTAAAGGTTTATACTCATGATCTTCAAGCTGCCGGAAACAAAACAAATTACATTCGTGTCATGTGTCATGGGGTGGCTACCTGAAGAGATAAATATAGATTTAACTGTGTAGGGACCTCATATTTCACTATTGGATAAAAAAAAGGTCCAGAAATAAGGATTCTGTAGATGACCCAGTGCTTTCTCG